AGATAGAGTCGCCGGAAGGTTCGCCGGAAAATCTTTAAAACCTCCCTTACGCTTCAAGGTAAGCCCGTAGATATATCTAAAGATTAGAATGTTCATATAGGTTGTTTTTACGTTCTTAAATGGTCATTTGGTTGAGTTTTGTGTTTGACATGTTTGAAGAACCAAGAATCATAAACCTTGAATTTGATGTTAAAAATATGTTTTAATGATTCTAAAATGATCTATGAACCTTGGAGAACATTTCTATATAGTTTAATTGAAGTTTGGTAACTAAAATTGATATGTCCGAAAATAGACCGAAGGTAGAAGACGATGAACAGTGACCAAAAATCGATTATTTTCTTCCTAAGAATCGATTAAAACTTGTTCAGATAACGCGTATCAAAATAAAAAATATAATAATCAATTATATTAAGGTATAAAATCAATTTTGGTATTTAATCGATTAAAAAATATTATAAAATCGATTTTACAAATTTAATCGATTAAAATATGTTGAAAAATCGATTTTTATATATTTAATAGATTAGATTTTTATATTAATATATTGAATAAATCGATTTTTCCTCAATTCTAGTGTCCCGAAAATATTCTTGGAAATATTCTTTGAAAATACCAATTAATTATGAACAATTTAAATATGATTTTGTATAATAAATGATGTTTTTGGCATATAAAACATTATGTGATGCATGACGATAAGTTCGGGTGTTAACACCCGAGACTAGGCCGCTGTTTGCTATTAAATATTATGTTGAATGATCATTATGATGAATAATTATTATGGATAATTATGAATGATAAACCTACTGATTAGAATGATTATTGATGATTAAGTCATGATTAAAAATGAATTAATGGTGATTATGAAAATAGTGTATATTGTTAAAGATATCTAGAAGAACTCTAAGATATACCCACTTGTATATTGATGATGATTATTAAGGATATCTAGAAGAACTCTAAGATATACCTACTTGACCAATTCATATTTCGGGTTCAAACGTACGTACGGGATCCAGACCGGATATCACCCACCTGACAAATCATTATTCGGTTGGTACGTAATCCACATGACTCATAGGGTCGATTATCGATTCTTGTGTTCTGCATTAAACTATTTATAGTTTAAGGGCCTGGTTAGAATTACTGCCTTAGACTAGGAATAGCTAAGAGCTGAATATAAAATGATGTGGCCTTAGATTAAGAATAATTTAAGAGCATTATTGATATATTGAATATCAAATGACTTGGAATAAAATATTGAAAATATTATGAATGTTTGAACCATATATTGTGTGCATGATATCAAATGGTTG